GTGGATCAAAAAGAAGGAAAGCAAGAGAGGATGATAGGTGGAATCAGGAAGGAAAGAGGAAAACAGAAAGGATGGAGAGAAGAAGGATGACGGAAAGAGGATAGAGCGGAAGAAAGAAAGAGAAACGGAAGAGGGAGGGGTATGGAGAGGGGGTGGGACGAAGGGAGGGAGGGAAAAAAGTGTGTAAGGGTCGCTCATGGCCAGGTCGCGGTAGGGGAAATGGATCGGACATGTAAAGGGTTCGGGAACGCTCCCTTAAAAAAGCGCCAATGTATTTCTTAGGAAATAAACCTATACATACATACATACATACATACATACTGTAAAATAATTAGATTCAAAGGACATTATTTCCCCAATTCGGCGTCCAATTTGTTCAAGCGGTTTATTATGTCCTCTGACTTTTCTCTTAATATTTTGCATGTAATTTTCAAATGGAAATGCAGAGACTGTATGCAACGAGAAATCATCTAATTTGTCGACAAAATAATCTATATCGTCAGTTATGTGAATGTTATTATGGAAATTGTGAGTAATAAAATTTTTATCGTACAATATTGCAGTCGATTGAACAAAATGTTTTAAAAGAGCTTTGGCAAATTGACGAAATTCAAACTCTTTACAAAGACTCGAGTTTAACAAAATTCTCATTGCAACATGAAATTCCAAAAAATGAAAATACTTCTCTTCATTGAGAATATTTTTCAGTACAATTGGCCCTACATACAAAATAAATAATCTAAATTCTGTTGCTTTCCACCGTAAAACAATGTGCAACTCTCTGGGTTTTCTTGCAAACTCTGCAGGAATAAAGCGTTGAAATTGAACAAGAAGATTTGACATTGATTCAATTTGAGCAGCCAAAAGTCTATGAGGAACGGCTCTTTTGTACCACATATGCACTATCATCGAACGCATCACCCCAAGGCATTCGAGGTGTAAATAATCTAGAACAAAATGATGAACAAAATCTAATCCAGCAATATTAGTAAGAGGGGTATCTCTACGACGAAAATGTGGATCTCTCCAGTGTAGAAAATCTTCATTAATGCGAGCAGGTCTTTCTAAATCAATAAAGATTCGTCGATTGTCTAATGTAACACCGCGAACAGTGCATCTAGTACAAGAATAAAAACCTGTATGTGATACAGTTCCCATTATGAAACTCTTTGCTGGAGCATCGCAAACAAAATAAACACCATTTAACTGTACAGTATGATTTTTAAAATGAAAACCATTTTCATAAAGAATGTTAATTTCTGAAATGAAATCATTTAAATATTCTTCTAAACTTGCAGGTTTTTCTTTCCCATAATATATACCTATAGGAAATACTTTGTTGCGTAATCGTGGAATAGATACTACAGTACATAATATTGGATACACTTGATCGGACGAGCTTTTGAATAGAGGTAATCCATCAATGTTTATTAATAACTTAAAAGAATTTGTGTTTTTAAAATATTTAGGAGCAATTTGTAGTAATTGTTTTTGTAATCCTATGTGAATATAAAAACCAGGATCAACAACCTTTTTAATTACTTTTTTTCTGTTTTTAACAATGTTCGTGCGCTGATAGGAAATCTAGCATTCAACTCATCATCGGCAAAACATTTGTGATTTTCTTTTAGGCCTTTAAGTAAATCTGAAATAGCTTCATGCGTTATATTATGCTTTAAACCCCACCCGCGAAGAAATTCAAGTACTTTCGAATTCTTAGAAACTGAACTTATGCTAGACTGAGAACTGCTTGAAGTGCTTGAATGAAATGAGTGTGAGAGAGCATTATCAGAAGAGTTGAAATTGTCAGAATAATGAGAAAGTATAGAATGAGAAGATTCACATTGAGAAAGTTCAAAATCATGAGAAGATTCAGATTGAGGGAGATTAGAATGATCAGAAAGATCTTGAAAATCAGGAAAATCTGGTATTTCATAAATAGTGCTTGCAATGGAAGCGTATTGCTGCTCAGGCGATTGATGAAACTCAATCGAAGAATCAGTTGAATCGGATTTCTCGGCATCTTCAGCATTCAATCTCCGTATTTTACTTTTCTTACAAAGCTTATGAAACGGTATATCTTTTGGCATTTTGAGTAAACTGTAAATGTATATTTACGTAAAATACAAAAACTTAAATGTACACAGCTCGTTTATAGTAATAAACTGACTGAGAGTGTGGCTGTGCTAGAACATACCTATAAGAGTAAAGTACCCTTACATACAATTTGTTACTCGGTCAAGTTTGTTACTAAATTCTTTTTCGATTTAGTTGCTCGAAAGATATACAAGTTTTCAATTTGTCTTGTTGTTTACTGCAATAAACAAACAAAGAGTACAATCACTCTGTCAGACAGTTTATTACAATAAACAACGAGCAACAAATTGAAAACTTGTATATTTTTAAGCAACTAAATTAAGAAATAATTTTGTAACAAAATTGACCGAGTAACAAATTCTGTGAAAACACCTTTACTCTTATATGAGCTTCAGCACAGCCATTCTCGTAGCCCGTTTATTGCAATAAACAACGAGCAACAAATTCAAAACTCATGTACCCTGATAGCACAACAAGTCTCAGTTATGTTGCAGTTATGTTGCAAAGACGTCCGTATTGAAACGTCTTTGCAACATAACTGGAACATAACTGAGACTTATGTGCTATCAGGGTATCCTTCGAACAATTAAATCGAGAAAGAATTTAGAACTTGTACTAAATTAGCCCACCATGCTTCATTTCTTTAGAAAAGGAACGATCAAATGTGTACGTATATTAATATGATTACTTAACCTATATCAAATTAACCACATCCCAGTGAAAAATGATTTGTCGATTGACGTCGAAACGACTTCGAATCGACATCGACACCGTCGAATTGACGTTGATTCGACATCATTTCGACGTCGATCGACGAATCATTTCTCACTGGGACGTGTACCTATACAGAAACCAATACTTACAGCGATGAGTCAAGGTACAAACGTGGCAATTAAGAGAATGTACGGTGCGACATGCCCTTGCTCGTGATGTTATGCACGCGACCGATTACGATGGCCAAATTTTTATGTTTGGACCATCTATTTCAGAGCTGTCCACGAACTGCTCATTTCGGCCGATGTTTGCGAGGTACCGCCTAT